TCTCTTCATAACTTTATTTACCAATATTTCTGAATTATCTTCATCACCCTTTGTTTTGGTATTTACGTTTTCCATATATGAAACAGACCACATACTGTATGGTGAGAACACTGACCTGGAGAGTCGGTCTGATAGACATCATAGTGGTAACATCCTTACATTGTTAAGCTGGGACATCATTACATGCTGATATTTGGTTGATTTTGGTTGACATTTGGTCCAGTTGGTGTTTCTGTATGGAGTTTGCATGTTCTCCCAGTGTTGGCGTGCAAAGACATGCGCTATTGGTGAATTGAATAAACTAAATTGGCCGTAGTGCATGTGTGTAATAGTGATGGGTCGTTCATGAACGATTCGTTCATTTTGAACGAATCTTTAATATGACTCGGGAACTACGAGTCCTTTCAGGGAGTGATTCGTTCATCCGCATGTGCGCACATTTGTGCAGGTAGTATCATTAATTTCAAGTCTTCATCACATTGGCTGAAGCCAATCATATGCGTTTAGAGCCGGAAAAAGAATTGATCCGCTCACCTCTCGAGTCCTCTATCGGGTCTGAGTCACTCGTTCAACATGAGTCAATCATATGCGTTTAGAGCCGGAAAAAGTTTTGATCCGTTTATCTCTCGTGTCCTCTATCGGGTCTGAGTCACTCGTTCATCACGAGCCAATCATATGCGTTTAGAGCCGGAAAAAGTTTTGATCCGTTCATCTCTCGAGTCCTCTATCGGGTCTGAGTCACTGGTTCATCACGAGCCAATCATACACGTTTAGACCCGGAAAAAGAATTGATCCGTTCATTTCTCGAGTCCTCGGGTTTGAGTCGTTCTGTCACGTGATGAATGAACGATCATGGCTCCTATCGGCCTAGACTGTGCATTGATTAAGATTATATGTGACTGTCAGTGTAACGTGAATGAACCACTAACATTTGAAGACATGAAGAGGTGAGCTGAGCAAAAAGACAATAATGCCTTCATAGACAAAAGAGCCAGTAAACATTAAAATATTATTTTCTCCTTCTTATAGTATTCTATTTATGACTTATTTGTTGTGCAGTCAACCTTTTGGGCTAGTTGTAGATGTGTTTGGAAGCAATTCGTAACATTTGAATAATATTTTGGCAAATTGAACTAAATGAACGAAAGGACTCAAAAAGATTCGTTCATCTTGAAGAACGAGACTCAAAGATCAGAGTCAGTAAAATGATCCGAACTTCCCATCACTAGTGTGTAAATAAGAGAGTGGATGGGTGTTTCCCCAGTACTGAGTTGTGGCTAAATGGGCATCCACTGCATAAAACATATGCTGGAATAGTTGGCGGTTCATTCCGCTGTGGTGACCCCTGATGACTAAAGGGACTAAGCTAAAAGAAAATGAATGAATGGCCTGAATGGATGGCATGGCTTTAATACTGTAGGTTGGCCATGGCTGGTTGTTTCTCAGTTGAGGCCAATTTGCACGAAGCACCGCCACTCACCTGTCCTGCTTCATTCCACTTAATTTGGCCATTTCTCATGTGAACGAAGTTAGCATGACAGAAGCACTGATTTTCCCCTCTGCCTGTCTTCCCGCTGGCAGCTGTGCCACACTGAGTTTTGACTGAGACTGATGACAGAGGTTATTGAGGATGAAAACCGCCCTGCTTGCTCGGCTCACCAATGGCGTCTGGGCTTCGTCACATTTTGTCGCAAGAGGGCAGCTGTCATGTACCTGACATTAAAGAGATGGATGGCAGGACCCTTTGTTGCAGTTCTTCCAGCTCTGCGTTGCTTCTGCCTGCGTGCCAGCTTTCCACGTGACTTAACGGGAGCCAATCAGAGGGCACCGTCATGTCAGTTCGTCAGGCAGCTGGAAAAACTCTCCTCCTCTGTTTCTTGACCCCTGTGCATTGACCCCGCGCAAGTCCTTCTCCCTGCTGTCATGTTTGTTTACCCTAACAATGGCGCCTCAAGCTGCCTTCAACTGTGTGACACTTCCCATCTCTCGTACTTTGAGTGCTGCCTTTTATTCTTGTGGATGACAGTTGTGCCTGTGCATCAAGCACTAAAAAAAAAATCCACATAAATATGAGAATCGTCATCTTGTACTTGAGTCTCATGCGCATGGATCTGGGTCATCGTTGTTTTAACTCAACTTAAAGTCGCCATGGAATCAAAATGTACTGGTGGTTGGAGTCAGAAGTCTTAGCCCACCTATTTCCCCCCCGATTATTGAGTATTATTAACATAATAGTTTTAATAACTCATTTCTAATAGCCGATTTATTTTATCTTTGCCATGAAGTCTGTACATAATATTTTAGTAGATATTTTTCAAGATACTAAACAGCTGAAAATGCACATCACGTGACCAAACACACACTCTTGTATGTGCAGCAACATATGCTCACGTCTGAGCTCCAGGCAGTCAGCAGGTGCTTTGAGCACACCTCCACAGGTGAGAGCAGCACACGTCGGACAGTTCATCAAGGATCTACCACTGGATCTCATCTCACTACTGTAAAAAATAAATTCGTAAAATTTACAGTAAAAAAACGGCAGCTGTGGTTGCCAGTACTTTTCCGTTAAAAACACGGTACAAACCGTAAATATAATTTTAAATTGCTACCGTAAATTACCGTATTTTATTAATTTATAGTGGTAATATGTCTGTATTTTTTCTTTTGTTACAGAGTTAGACATGTTAGCACACCCACATGTAGGTGGTGATGAGGAAGTTACATAATGAGCCAATGCTCATCACAATCAACTTTTCCCACAAGCAGAAAGGTGTAATAATATATAGAAGGTGCTCAGTGTCATTCACACAGCTACTAAACACCAGTATGGTAACACACATAAAATTAAAGTCATGAAATAAACAATGATTATCAACATTAGATGTAACATAAATCTCTAATGTACATAACTGATGGGGAAACAACTATAAAGTTCCACATTAATGTCAACAAAATGCATAAAAAGTTATGTGCCATGCAGGGAATTCTGGGAAAGTCACTTTACGGTTATTCACCCTATATATTAAGGAAACATACTGTTAACGAGGTTACGTATTTGTACTGTAGCATTTTTTACAGCCATTTTTTACAGTTGTTTAACGTGATATTTAATTAATCTTGTTTATACCTAACGACTCTTCTGTCTTTTGAATCTATCAGTTGTTCTCTGGTAACGTGTTTTGGCTGAGAGCAAAGATAAGTTAATATATTAATTCATGTAATCACGTACTCTCCGCACATTTGAATAATTGCTTGCCTCTACTGTGAGTAAAAGTATCTGTTGTAAAAACCTTTCCAAAGTACTCAAGAGTGGTGAATAGTGAGTATTACGCTGTAAAAAGGTGATGCATTTACAGCACAATGCTTATTTTCAATGCAGTGAATCCTCTGATTTTCATTGAGCAGGTGTAATATTCATTAATATTAATTATTCGAATTCTTATATTCACTAAGGTGCCGCTGTTTGGGGTCAAATGAGAGTTACGTCATCATTAACTAGCAGGCCGCATTTTGCTCACAGGTCTGCGAGAAAATAAATAAGAAGAGCGGAGCTGCAGTAAAATAATGAATATAAAGAGTGAGGCTATGGTCAAAAAAACAAATATAGGAAAAAAGTGTGACTGCTGAGAGTGCAAGCAGCTAGGGACACCGGCCCTCTGGCCAAAAAAACGGACCGGCCCACCGGGAATTCTACCGGTCCTCCCGATTAGCCAATCCGGGCCTGTTGAGAAGCCTTTACGATTTATTAACCCTGACAAATTAAGGGTGCTTTCACATCTGTAGTTTGCTTCATTTGGTCCGGACCAAGCACAATAAAGGATACATTGTTGCATCTTCTGCCGTCTTTGGGTCGTTTTCACACCACACTGCTGGCTTTGGTCCGAACCCATTAAAACAAACCAAAATGCAGTCATCTGACAAAATCTACATCTCTCATTGGCCAGATGTTGTTAAACATATTTCCTAAACTGCTTATTGATTGGTCAGAATTCACGTGCGGGAAAATGCCAATGAACTCCCGCAGGTAAACAAAACCTTTAACTCTGGAGGGACGACTGCGCTGGCTGATTGTATCCCTGCTTTAGACAAACTATACATTACGAAAATGAAGCGCGGCCGCGTCTGGAAAACAACAAAGTGTTTTAATGCATCGCTCGTCACTTCAGGAGGAGCCGTGAATTAATTTAGCTAAACTGCAATATGGTCATCTTGCGGAAATATTACCAACGATCCATCAGGTAATGTTTTCCCCTCTCTCTCCCTCTGTTGGTAAAGCGCTGTCAACAAATATTTTTCCTCCATATCCCATAATGCACAGCGCATCGGCCTACGGCAGCTGAATTAGTCCAAAACGCGCAGTACTTTATGTGGTTGGAATTGTTTTAGTACAGATCAATTTCTCACCATAAACGAACCGCCCCAGGGTTCGTTTGAAAGCGTACTGAGACCACCTCTTCAAGCAGGTCTCGGTGCGCTTATTTGGTCCGCTTTTGGTGCGCCATCAAGTACTATTGCTGCATTCACACCTGCTTAAACGAACCGTACCTAAAGGGGAAACAAACTCTAGTGCGAACTAGATAAGCAAACTAAATAAGGCAGGTGTGAAAGCACCCTAAAGCACAGTTAATAGTGAAATCGGTTAATTATCGCATCCCTAAAATGCTCAATGTTTATTTATTTATTTCTTTTTTTTGAGTTATTGTAAGAATGTATCCGGTGCAAATATGCAAAACTGGTGCAATTGTCAGTTAAAGTGTCAAAGAGGGGAAACGATGTGTTTTCTACAGGTGGTTTGTCAAGCCCACTCACCTGTGTGAGGCAAACTCAGAATGATACTCTGTGGGCTTCTTTGGCGGGAATCTTGTCAGTCCAAAAAATGATGGGTTCCACTAACCCTTCCATTGAAGGCACATTTATATATAGTTCCTCTATTAAGATCTTCATCAAATGTCACCATAACGCGATACATTTCAAATGCAGTGTCTTGTTTTATGTTGCAGAAAATGGCACTTTTAACTCCAGCAGTGAAGCAGAGAGGAAGACACAGTCGTACTACCTTTCCTGTCTTAATGAACAGCGAATAGAAGAACTCGGAGCCCAACCACTCATGGATTTGATTACAAAGGTGAGTTTTTCTACAGCGCCCCCCTATGGTGTGGAAGATAAACGCTGCAAAATCAGTAACAAAAGCTGTCTATTAGATAGCACAAAATGTATTAAATATCATGGACAGTGGTATATCCGTGATGGACTGACCGATTAAAGCTGCTTTCAGCGGGGGAGGTGATGACGAAGCTCCCGCTTACAGGCTGGGGGTCAGAGTATGCATACGCTGAGGCACATCGCCAAAGACGCGCTATCTTTATAAACAAACTTCCGATTCGAGTTTAAAACAACTACATTCTCACCTGAAAAACTTTTCATACTTTAATTTGTAACACAACAAAGGAGTATTTTTAAAACTGTGCGGGTTTTCTCCTCTACCATTAGCTTTCGCTGGTTACGTTGCAATGCATTCTGGGATCCCTGTGCTTTGTAAGTTCGCAACAGTGGAACAGTGCTTCGGCGACAGTTGATGACGTTTCAGGAGGACACAAGAACGCAAGTACAGACAAGAACGCTTATTGAGAAACAGCCATATACTGTATTTCCTCATGAAGGGATAAAAACAAACATTTGAAAGACTTATAATGAGACAGCAGAAGTTGGTGTCAGCTATTCATTTGTAGTCATTCTGCGTATGCTAATAAGTAACACACACAAAAAAGAAAACACCAATTTTTCTGAATGACCTTTGGTTTAATTTGATGCCTGATTAATTTTTTTGATTGCTTTTCTGCGCATCCCCTAAAAATCAGAGTCCTTTATATGAACCGAGCTAGACAACTCGTATCAAATGGCTACGATGCTATCAATTCCTCTAGGTTTAAAGTCAGCGAGCCTTGAAATTATGTAGACATCCTTCAGCGAAAGACGTTTTTGGTGCTCTTCTATCTCTCTGAATCAGCCATTTTGAACAAGAAAGCTGCGATTCTGAAGCTCGGCGCAGACCTGGAAGATTACTCAGTGTTACAGACACAAAGCAGGCATGTCAAACAGCACTTCATCTTCCTAATTTACAGTCGTCCCCACACGCAGCTGCCTTCTGGAAGCTTTAAAAAAAAATACAAGTGGAAAGAAAAATCTACCCTGACTCTGATGAGCTGCCTTTTGAATGCAACTTTAGCAACGCTATATCTTTCTGTCGTGTCTTTCGCTCGATCTGCCGCTCGTTCTGTCATCTCGGGATCACAGTGATTGAGCGGATAGAGAGCCGAGAATAGCTTCATTCTCAGAGGTGAGACAGATTTAATTGGCTTTGATATTAAGCGTCAGGCCGAATTCATCAGAGCCATGCGGTTTTTAAACTTTTCATAAATCTGTTGCTTTGATCTACACATTTTAACATTAACGTGATATGGCACCCTCGGCTTATTTCACTTGCAAAACAGACTGTTCAACAAGAAAACTGATGTGAGTTTGAGTCATACCTGCCAACATTCAGATCATAAAACTCGGGAGATTTTATCCGGGGCTCTGCGCAAAGTGAAGAGCGTAGAGCGGGTATGAAGATGGTTGCGTGTTGGGTTCGGCGCACATGGGGACTGTACCAAAAACAGGGAGGTTGGTGGAATTACAGGAGATTTCCGGGAGAAAGAACAATATGGGAGAAGGGCGGGAGATGGGTCTGAAATACAGGAGACTCCTGGGAAAAACAGGAGTGTTGTCAGGTATGGTTTGAGTTTAGGCTTTCGATATCAGATTGGAGAGAATCTGAATCTGTATTAGCAGTCGTTTATGGAGAGGAGGTTGTTTTTACATCAGTATTACAGCGGGGGAAATAATTATTGACGATGTCATGTTTTTTTCCTGGGAATAATAATATTTCTAAAGGAACTGTTGACATGGAATTGAAGCAGGTTTGGAAAAAACCCAAACAATAAAAAAAATAAATAAATCAATCAATAAAAAAAAAAAATAAATAAATCAATCAATCAATCAATCAATCAATCAATCAATCAATCAATCAATCAATCAATCAATCAATCAATAAATAAATAAAAAATAATAATAATAATAATAATAATATATATATATATATATATATATATATATAT